CACATTCCTTTTTTACTCTTTCTGCGGAAAACAAATACAACGTGGGTGCCAAAGTGAGCGGTTAAACAATAACGCTTCAAAACTTTGACACCTATTTTCTACTGAGAATGCAATTTAGGTTGTTAGTATAAGTCACTGCTAAGCATTAAATCGATTGCCCCTGTAGGAGCAAGTCCTATCTGTAAAGTATAGAAATTGGCACTAGAACACTTATGAGGAACACTACAATTGCACTTTTCCTGATTTTAATGATACATCAGTGTCGTCTAACCATGTGTCCGGAGCGTTTCTATAAAACGGAGAATCTGATATATTGTATGTATATCTGTAGCTGTAGCAAAAAAATGCGAAGTCGTCAGCGAATACGTACACCTCTGAATCATTTTGCACTGCATTGTGCACAATAAAATATTAAATATAATGGTGACACTACGAAACCTTCGGGGAGACCTCTAGTTTGTTTACACTTTGAATTTGACACGCCAGACTGAGAGCAATAGAATTCTCTATCCTTTAGAAAGCAGTAAACTCATGCCGCGAAGTAACTTCTGAAAATAAGTAAGCCCACGCCGCGAAGTAATTTAGTAAACCTACGTGAATGAGCAAATATATTAGTTTAAGTTGTTCCCTACGGTCGTAAGCAATTGCAATGTTTTAGGGTACAAAGGCGGAAATGTGTTCCTTAGAACGAGCTATTTGTATCCTGCTTTCCATATCAACGTGCGAAAACCAAATGGAGCAGCCATGTCTGAATCCAATTTTGCATGAGCTTACGACTGTGTTTTCGTCCAACCAGTAGTCTAGCTTAAATTGTAGAATTCTTTCGATTAGTTTCAGCACATTAGATGTGAGTTAAATAGGCCTACAGCTATCCAAAGTAAACTCAGCTCCATTTTTGTTTATTAAGGAATTAATTTCGCAATTCTCCACTCAGGTAGAACCAACAAACGTTCAATGGAGTGGTTAACTATTGCAAGTAAATTCTGTAGCAATATTTTATGGATTATTTTTATTATCAATGCAGTTATTGCATCAGAACCTGGAGCAAAATTGGGCAACTTTTTTGCCACTTGTGCTATTTCCGACGCTGTAACCTCGTCAAAGTTATCGCTGTTAAGAGAGCACCACGAGTGGTAAAAGTGAGCAGCTGTGAAGTGGCCTTCCAGACATTGAGCAATATTTTCGAGAAAAGTAGGCAACTCACCTCATGTTGAGGCTATCGATTAGAGGTTTATTGGTGGTGGGATTACTTTCTTGGCTTAGTAGAAGTTGAAAAGCGATTTCCTGTGGCCAGGCTTTAAAATGAACTAGGAACGTTGGCTGTCATATTATCCTTGGAAGTGGCAACTGTTTGCCTAAAAACTGCAGCCGAAAATTTATAATCGCTCCAGTTTATAGAGCACTGATTACACAGCAGTTTTCGCCTCACCGCTTCTCTTAGCCTGTAATGACGTGAACAATGAGAGTTCCGCGTATGATTAAATGGACGTTATTTCGAGACACGAACTGTGAATTTGGCTTTATTTAAATATTGTTTTATAACATCGTGGAAGCTGATAACATTTCGCTTTTCATTTACCCCAGTTCGTTTTGAAAAAGACACACGTAGGGTATGTTCAAATGTATTGAACTTGTTGTGAGAAGTGGGCTGCCTGATTACTGAAGTCACCAGACATACAAGCTCCAACAATATAGGAAAATCGTCGCTATTTGTACGCGAGTTCAAAGTAGACCATGTATAAATACACAGGCTAGGACTACAGGAAGTAAGATCTATCGCAGAACGAGACTATTGCACACAACATTGGGGGTTTGCAGATTATTGCATGTTAAATTACTTTTAGCAACAAGATCTCACAAATACTTTCCGCTAATATCTGTTCTGAATCCCCACGAAGGGTCATGAGAATTGTAGACTCTTTCCATTACATGTCTTTTCTGCAAGACGAAATTACGATATCTTAAACACCAGAATTGTGAACACCTGACGCGAAATGAGCGTTTACTAACGAAAACTGAAGGTGCCACAGAAGACAGATATCTATTGTTAAAATATTACTTTCTAAATTCATATTTTTGTCTGGAACTTTTACCCGATGGTCAATTTTTGAAGAGATAAGGACGGATAATTCACCACTTAGAAGAGGGTGGTTTAAGCGAAATGTTTTGTAGTTTTTAAGCTAAAATATTTCCTCGTTAGAGCCAACATTCTTAACAAACTATAACATCTGGACAGCGCTCATTACAAAGGAAAAACGTGCCAGCCTTTTAAGCCTAGCACGGGATGCTCCACTTCGTCTTCTTTGATCACTGGCTTAAAACTAGCTCACTATTCACTGGCAAAGCACACGAGGTGGCAATATGGATGATGTTTATGCCTCACGTTCATTGAAAAAGTTGCGACAAAAAACCCAATTGAATTCTGAATTAACCCCTGCATTTCAGTGAAAACCTAAATTTTTTTTTCATTGGATGACACTGCTTATACGAGTTTACCGCAGTCATGCTAATAATGACATTATTATAGGTTAAAATTATCCGTAACGATCCTTCTGGTAATGCTTGTGACTGTTATTTCCACATGAAATACTGTTGAAGCAACTGTTCTGAAAATTCTTCTCTTACTATTTCAATAATATGCAATTTATATTCTATTTGTTGTATATATGCTACTTCATTCGCATTTGGTCTGCATCTAAAGTTTTCTATTCGCAAAAGCCTACAGGTACAGGTCATCGACAGAAAAAGCATCTGTCCCGAGCAAAGAGTTTTTTGAGACGTAAACTCATATATTGCCGAGAGTGTGCGTTGTATATGTAGGCACTCGATTGCGCATACCGAGTTCAGTCAAGGGCGTCTTTACTTGGATTTCGATTGACTTAACCCTTTGATTGACTAGTTTAGGTCCGATGGAGGCGGAAATGTCGTAGGCCCGTGTGCTCAGATTTGGGTGCACGTTAAAGAACCCCAGGTGGTCTAAATTTCCGGAGCCCTCCACTACGGCGTCTCTCATAATCATAAGTGGTTTTGGGACGTTAAACCTCAGATATCTATCTAGTTTAGGTGAGATGTAAACAAAAGTACCTTCAAGACATAGTGAGGCACCACCCAAAATCAGCGTTCCATCACTCGTTCAATTCAACGCTTCTTTTTCATTTAATCAATAAAGATACAAACGACGAAATAACAATTAGCCTTTCTCTACAATTCCGCAACCTTCACGCGATACGCCCTCCCCCTTCTTCTGTGATAGATTTACTCGAGTGTCCCCTCCTTCCCGTTGAAAGATGCAGGCGCGTCTTTTTAAACAGCTATCTTACACACGGCCTGTTGCACACATGTATAATTATTGAGAAAATGTTACAGGCCGATTTCTTTGAGCATGTCATTATGTTAACGCGATGACTTAAACACTTGTGTTGCTTAACTCGCTGCATTCATTTATAAACGAGGCCAACCAAAAGAAGCGAGAAAAAGTCACGTGCGCTAAGCTCTGTGTTCTGTAGACTGATTTATATTCCACAGATGAAATCAACTCACTTCATAAACAATAGTGTTTTCTTTTCAAATGATGTCTTTTTTTTTCTACCGAGAAAACGTGCACACGATCACCAGCCAGGGTATGGGATCAGGTCCAATAGAGCAGACAAGTATAAAACAGTGTGAGTAGGCGTTGAATAAGATTTTATTTATTACAGTGATGCATTATTCAGTGATTCATAATGAGCAAAATGGCAGGACAGAAGGTAAAAAATAATAATCAACACGGTGCTTAAATCATTCAACATGCCAGATATGTCTCGAACGATATTTTTATAGCACAGTGATACTCCGTAGGCAGCCTGCTGCACGATAATGCATGTGAACGCTATTTTCAAAGAAAGACATACAGTCAATTTTTATTATCAAGCACGACACGCGAAAATAGTGTGCGCCATGATTCTCGAGCACATAAAGGCTGTGGTGACTGCATTGTGGTGGCCAGTCACCAATCGGGAGCGTGGAGCAGACTTGCGAGATCCAGTTGACCTTTTGAGCTCTCGTTCTCTTCATCCACCCATGTGACATCGGGACCCTTGGCCTTTTTGATAATGGTTCCGTGGGCATCCCTCTGGTCCGAGCTGCAGCAGCTCTTGGCCTATAGGAATATGTAGAGGCTGCGCAGATGGTGAACTGTAACACTGTTCAGATCCTCGCATTGGCTGCTCTTCCGACACAGAAGTTCGGTGAGCTTGGCGAACATCTGTCGCTTACCCTGCATTTCCGTTCGCTCCACCACCAGCTCCAGATTGGTGATCTCCGCTTGCACAGCTTCCTAGCCACCGGCAGCGGAAGCCTCATACAGGAGGTCTTGGCTGCACTCAAAGCTTTGCCTTCGTTTGTTGTGACGAGCCTCCACATTTCCTTTGCAGCAAGACGTTTGGCTGCTTGAGACCGCAAAAATGATCAAGACACTTGTACTCCTTCAAGTTGTCTTCACTGCAGTTCTGGAGTGCCTTGATAGTCTTCGCAATCTGCTGCTTCCAGTTCGCCTTCACAACACTGGTCCGAATGATGGTCGCGTTTTCACAAACCTGCCTAATGATCTTCGCTCGCACAGCATAGATCTTTCTCGCCACATCGAGACGGTAGGGTGCCCTGCTGTTGTCGCTGGGCTTATTCGCCGTGATGCTCGGAGAGAGGACCAGCGTCGTTGACAGAGCATTGTTATGCAAAGCCTTGGTTGTGCTGCCGGCGTCAGTTGGTGGCACTTGCGGCAGGGCATCTTGCTTGACTGCCGCGAGGCTCTGTTTGAACTCGATGACCTGGGCCTCGAGCTCGGGCATCTCGTTTTTGACCTAGTCGAGCTTGCGCAGAAGGCCTTCCTCCTTTTCCTTGTACTCCTCTATAAGTGATCTGTACATCGGCTTGAGTGCGTTGACGTTGAGGACGTTTTTCTTGGCCTGCTGCTCGATCTTCATGTCCTGCTCGGCGTACTTGAGAGTGTTGTGGGTGTCAGTTTAGCTGAGCTTGGACGGCGACACAGCCGCAATCATGAGGGTGCCACACGTGCCACCAGAAGAGTCCTTCATTATGTGCGTCAGCTTCGAATCCCGGTACGGCACCCGCTGAGCTCCACTCTTGGACAGGGCATCGATGCAGTTGCTTGGTGCCACCATTGATAGGTTGACCTTGGTGCCCTCGCGTATAAGGTCCTTGACGCTTCCGTTCACCGCACTGGCACGCTCCAAGCCTGATAATCACCAAAGCTCATCTCGGAGACACTAATTCCCTTGCTTGTGCTGGTCAGGTTCTCCGTCTTGGCGACGTAAACCTGTAAAATTGCATGGGACTGCGATGACTCCGAGTTGCCATCGGTGGCGTGCTGTGACCTTTTCCTGTCGCCTTTCAGGAGCAACTCTAACAGTTCCCCAGATTCTTTCACCTTGTGTTTTCAAGAGTTTGAGATGGCGATGCCCTTGTCCGGGTCGTCGCGCACGAACAAGGATGGTCCGTTTGTGCACTGGAGGTTGCGTAGCACCTCGTTGTAGACCTCCAGGTAGGCGACCACCACGTATCACGAGTGACCCTCGGAGCGGTTCTTGTCAACGTGCCGGTTGAGCTGGATGGCCATCAGGGAGACCACTCCAGGACACTCCTCGGAGCCACACATCGTGAATGTCTCTCCGGCTCCGGTTGCACCATACGCGAACACGGAGGAATTGCAGCCATCAAGAAGCGTCGTCAGCATCTCCTTGGTTGTGTGCTCAAATATGTACTTATCTTTTTTTATCTTCACCAACGACTTGATCAAACCTAAATGGTCGGTTTGGCTTGACGAGGCCCATGCATGCCCGCTGCCCTTGAGAGTAGAAGGGCTCGACTTCGGCCTTGTTTTCGAACACTAGGTACTTGTGGTCAACGACGCGAATGGTGCTGGACGTCTTGGACTCACGCTCGCTCAGTGGGCGCACCCTCACGGCCACGTTCACGCAAGCCCCGGGCGACGATCGGTTGTTGCCAGTGCAGCGGCGTTTTGGGGCCCACTGTTAGATGTCGGTGGTAGGCCGCTTGCGGTTCTGTGGTGGCGCTATTGTCGACGCTTCGAAGGTGTTATGAAACTGTAGTTCAACAAACCACCGACCAGCAAGCTGTTGGATAACGCATCAGCTGCTGCTATCTCTCGAGAAGAGAAGCACGCGATCTTCTTTTTTTCTTCTAAGTTTAGAGCCGCTCTTGCCGTCAAACCACTACGTGTTTGGGGCAAAATCCCTGTTTTTGAAAAGAAGGAAATGTACAAAAATATTGAAAGAAATGTACATCGCACCACTTCGATGCTCACACAGGATCGCCAACCAACCGAGGGCTTGGTGGTTCGTCACTATCTACCTCTTTCGTCAAACATGGAAAATTTATCGATCAGGCACTACCAGCATTAATGTATGCTGATGATATAGTGCCAACGGCCGACAACAAGGAAGATTTGCAGAGATTGATGGATAGCTGCGGTAACGATGAAGATAGGTAAGATTTTAGATTCAGTAAGGAAAAATCAGCAGTCATGATTTTTAATGATAATGAAGGTGATGAGCTTAGGATAGAGGAAGTCACGCTAGAGATAATAGATAAATACAAATATCTTGGCGTTTGGATAAGCAATGGGACCGAGTACCTAAAAGAAAACGAAATTAACGTGACGACTAAAGGTAACAGGAATGCAGTAGTGATGAAAAATAGGGCACTGTAGAATTACAATAAGTATGATGTTGTGAGAAGTATATGGAAAGGGGTTATGGTTCCTGGGCTGACGTTCGCGAATGCGGTCTTGTACATGAGCTCAGACGTTCGAACTATATTAGAAATTAAGCAACGCTGAATAGGTAGGCTTGCTTTAGGAACTAACGGGAATGCGCCAAATCGGGAAGTACAAGGTCACATGGAATGGACATCATATGAGGGCAGGTAAGCTAGCAGCAAGATAAATTTTGAGAAACGATTGAGACAAATGGGGGAGGAGCGTTGGGCTAGGAAGGTTTTCAGCTACTTGTACATAAGAATGTCGAAATAAAATGGAAAAAGCGAATAAGATAATTGACTGGTTAATACTTAGAAAACAGGAGGTAGCCAAACCAAAAAGAACTATCGGTTAAGAAGAAACTGAAGGAAACGTAGATTGAGATTTTGAGAATTGGCATGATTAAGAAGTCCGCACTAGAGATCTATCGAACTTATAAATAGGAAATCGCCAAGAAAAGAATCTATGATAATACTCGGGGTAGTTCTCTTCTGTCTGAGGCCAGGACGAGAGTATTGTGTACGATGACATATCAGGCCAAATACGGAGGGGTAGACAAGGTATGCAGTGCATGTGGAGAGGAGGAAGAAACTGCCGAACACTTGATTATGTTCTGTAAAGGGCTTCACTATATAGTTCAGAATGATGGGGCAGGGTTTTTCAAAGCACTGGGGTTTGTGGACAGGGAGGGCAAAATAGACTTTAGGTGGGTAGAGTTAACTAGAAGAAGATCATCTCATCGGTGGATAAGTCAAGGCACGAGTGAAAATAAAACACTTCACTGCAAAGTACCAGTCCTCAACTTCACTATTTAAATGGAAAAAGATAAATCAAATGTTTAGTTCACTAACTATTACGGCTAGGTAATTTTAGCCGCCACCTGTTCTACAGGGTACAGCCACATCCATCCATCCATCCATCCATCTATCCGTACAGCTAGATGGCGTTAGCCGCCACCTGATATAGAAGATACAGCCACATCAATCCATCCATGAATCCATCTTGAAGAGACGACCATAAAGTTACGGGCGATACTTGGTGATGGCCCACACGACTGCAAAGCACTCTTTCTCCGTAGTAGAATAATTCACCTCGGCTTGGGATAAAGAGCGACTGGCGTAGGCTTTCACTCTTTCGATGTCATCTTGACGCTGAACGAGCACTGCACCGAAGCCAATCTTACTAGCGTCAGTATGAACCTCCAAGTCAGCATCATCATCCAAATGAGCAAGAACTGGCGCTTATTGCATGCGCTGTCACAGCTCATCAAATACGGCTTGTTGTTGGAAGCCTGGAAGCCTTTCTTATCGGACGGAGCTGGTAATTCGGACACATTGGAATTTTCTTTCAGTTTCAGTTCATTGAGCATAATATTCTAGATAGGGCCGGACCTCTTCTGCGCTAACTATATATCCAAGAAATTTGAGTTGCTCATAGCTGAAGGGGCACTTCTGTGGCCTTAGTGTGAGGTTTGCCGATCGGATAGCCTCCAGCACAATGCGCAGGCGGTGATAGGTCTTCTCGCATGTGGCAGAAAAGACCACCACATCACCATGGTAGATTAGAAAAGTCTGCCACTTGAGCCCTGTGAGGACGGTCTTCATCATTCGCTGGTAAGTTGCCCCTGCTTAACACAAGCCAAAAGGAAGTACTCGAAATCGGTATAGGCCGCCTGTAGTCACGAAGGCTGTTTTCTCGTGGTCTCGCTGATCTACCTCGATATGCCAGTACCCGCTTTTGAGATCAAGAGAAGTGAAATAATTGGAACGGCGAAGTCTATCCAGTGAAACTTGCGTTGGGTCTAGTTGGTACATAGCACAAAAAAAGAAGTTAACTTCTTTTTTTGGTCTATCCAGTGGTTTCGTTGATACGTGGCATCGGGTACACATCCTTTTTGGTCACGTTGTTATGCTTTTCGGCAGTGGACGCAGAAGCGTAGCGACCCGTCCTTATTTTTGACAAGGAAGACTGGATAATACCACGGGCTGTTGGAAGGTTCATAATTTCCAACGTCAAGAATCTCGCGGACTTGCGTGCGTATCGCTTCACGTTTGTTTGCCGACAACGCGGTAAGGGTGCTGGTGTATCGGGCGTGTGTCTTCGCACGTGATTATTCTGTGATGATCGAGGGACGTCTGGTGGATCTTTACGGAACTTGCAAAGCGAGACCAGAACTTGAACAAAAGCACTAGTAGCGCAGTCTTGTTATCGGTGCACAGATAAGAATTGATGTCATATTACTCATTGACGTGTCTGCAGTATACCAGTAGTTCTGACGTGAGACAGCTGGTGACACTTGCTACTTGGTGGGGAAACGCTATTGAAGTGCCACGGAAAAGGTTTTGATACTCGTTGCTGAAGTTGGTAACGAGAAATTTGAATCGGCCATCACGAAGGTGTATTAGACTTCCGGCTACAGAAATGCTTTCCTGCAGGAGAAGTTCTAAGTTTGTCTCGGCCATCATTTTGCCATGGTCCAAACTATAGCATGTGACGTCGCCTAGAAGACTTGCTCGTAGAGAAACAGTCACGCTCTGTTCGGAAATAAGTAGTACGTCGACACACCTTTCGTTAGCCTGCACGTTGATTGCTCGATAAATGGAGAATGTGACGCGGCACTCTTGCAGATCAATGATAGTTCCATTTTCCTGTAAGAAATAACCTCCAAGAATGACATCACGGGATAATTCGCTTAGAACAAGACAGCTTAGTACGAATGTATACCCTTTATGCTGCACTACAGTTGCGTAGGCGCCCACTGGAGTAACGACGTGACCACCAGCTGTCCGATCCTGCGAGGTATGCCGCGGCACCATTATTATCTTCAGCTTCGTTGTAAGTTTCTTCGTTCACAATTATATAGTCTGCGCTGGTGTCCACTAACGCATTAACTGCACAACCACCAATTGTCACTGCTATGTCGAGTGAAAGCCGGCTATCCTGTGCAGCAGCGGGTGATGTCGGACCAGTTTCTGCACGGTTCTGCGTGAATAAGAGGTCTTCAGCGCTTCGACGTTCAGCGACCCCGCCCCCGGAGGTCGCTTTGCTTTGTTGTCCCGGCGAGGTCTGGGAGACAGTGCGATAGAATACCGCTGCGGTGGTGATGAAATTCGCCTTGGTGATGGCGAGCACGCTGGCGCCCGGCAGACGGTGATGCATGCTGCTTGGAGAGACAGTTCTCGATGTCGCATGGTCTTTGGCCGTAACGGCGTGGTGGCGAGTACGCAAAGAAGTCGCGAACCCCAAGGCGGCCATATGGGCACTGGCGGTACAAGTGACCAGCTTCTCCGCAGGGAAAGCATCAAGGCCAGCGATCAGGTGTGCGCCAAACTTCCGACTTTCGAGGAAACGTGTGCCGATTGTTGTCCTGGACTGGTTGCACCGAAAGATGAGCGACAGAAGCGTAGCGGACAAAGGTCAAGGACAGTGGGCTGCACGTAACTTCGTAGTATGGTGTGTGCTGCGCTGACTGGAGTGAAACAGGAACAGGATGACTGAAGAATGGCGGCGATGCAGCAGGGCGCTTCAATGCTTCCGCGTACGTTGTCCTATGGCGGTAGTCAGCAGTTTTATGTATATTCAATAAAAACCTCTTCTGCAACACTCCACCTATTTTTTTCCCGCTCACGCATTTTCCAGATTACGTTGGCCTCTACTAGAAACTCGTTCACATACGTTTACACATATACGCATAAGGATGTTGCCGAAAGACACGCATTGGTAGGCTGTTTTCGTAACCGTCGTGGAGACTCAGCGTTTACGGTGTTTTACTGTTGATCGTAAGAAGCCTCGAGCTTGCTTGGGGTGGTCGTACTTCGGCGGAGAAGGAATGCTAATGACATCCATCGGGCCATGAGCTCCAGAGCCCTCGATACGGCGTCCTGAGTCACTGTGAGTCGGTAAACAGCAAAGACATACCCACAACCATTTACGAAGCGAGTATGGGCATCCTTAAATAGAACACTTCTATCCAACTGCTAAAGACTGTATTGAAACACAGGTTACTTGATGGTTAACAGAATGGTCACGTACAGTCTTTCTATTGAGAGAATGTTACTAGGGCATCAATTGAAAAGTGTGGATAGGGCGTTACTTCGTGGTCCCCAAACAGTCTATATGAACAAGATTTTGTTCAAAGTTGGTTGCCAAATGCAGTCAGAGCGTTTACAGATTTTTGGTAAAGCAGTCTAAAGATAGTTGGTAGACACTTATTTTAGGGTTGGTAGGCTCTAGAAACGACCGTTTTTGCAC